TTTTACTACTTCATTTAGGAGAGAGAGACCAGCCACTGTGTAATTTAAGGCCTGCTGAGTATAATTAGTTAAGGCCTCAATATGCTGCATGCCATCTTCTAACCTTAGAGAAAGGACAAAGATAGAGGCCAAGTGATCACACCAGTGAAACACACTTCTTGACCATCGATGTTGTAGGTGGGGTAAATGTGCAGCTTTGTTGATTTTTGGTGTCAAATTATTTTTATACAGGTATTACTTCTCAGCAGTACCTGCCTGGCTCTCTTTTGCTGTCTGTGCAAGGTACAGGTAAGTGCTAGACAAACTATTTTCTTCAGATATCTGATAAATACTACTGAATGCACTTGACATGTGCTTAAGGTCAAAATGTTATTTATCATAAGGAGTTAGCAATGTCCCCCACTGAACAAAGATATGCACTTTTACAAATATTGGCAAATTAAAGCATTAAACGGTCTAAAGTTTTATCCAAACCCAGCATAGTGGAACATTCTTATAGTATCAACCACTTGGCATGCTAAACCAGAAGGATCTCAAATTTGAGCCGAGCCTGCAACTCAGCAAAATCCTGTCTCAAAATAAATCCCGAAAAATGGCTGAAGATCTAGCTGGATGGTGGAGCACTGGCCTAGCACGCATGAGGCCCAGGGGAATAAAGCCTTATGCCAGCAATTGCCAAAAAAAAAAAAAGAAAAGGATTTATCCTAATAACTCAAGGTTGGTTAACTTTAGAAATGTCAAAAAGTTGCATTAGGAGAATGACACCTGACTCCTCTATGTATTTATCAACATTTGTAATATAGTTTCAATGTCTATCTGCTCCCTCAAAAGCTCTTGAAAGGGGGGCTCCCTGAGATCTGAAGGGTTCCCCTTCATTTCTGAGGCACTCAAAGGCACCTGAACAACAGTCTTTATTTTCAATTGAGTGGAATCCTGCTATGTCACTACCATAAAGCCCAAATTAATGAATCTCCATGTTTCATCACACACAAACCTTTACCTACTGATTCTTTAATTCTTTATATACTTTATTTAAAATTACTGGTTGTTTTCCTGGTTTTTTGAGACAGGGTTTCGCTATGTATGTTCCAGGCTGGCCTTAAACTCAGCAATCCTGCACTTCAACCTCCCAAGTACTGAGATTACAGGCATGCACCACCACTCCTGGGAAAATTACTAATGTTTAAAAAATAAAACAAATGGGGCTAGGGGTTTAGCTCAGCGGCATAAGCACCTGCCTTGCAAGCAGGTAGACCTGAGTTTGATCCCTGGTACCGATAAAAAATAAATAAATAAATAAATAAATAAGGTATATGGAAACCTTTCTAATTTTAACAGGACTTTTTGAACTGCATTATTGGTATATTTTAACTATACATAATGAAAAAATATATATGTAACAATCACATTCATCATAGGGACTTTGCACCTGCACATGACTTACCCCAATTCCTTTATTTTTTCTATTCTCATAACCTCCCTTCAATCCCCCTCTTCCCCTCATTTACAAAAGCTTTGCTTCCATTTTTTTCCTTCTAGTCTTATTATTTTTACTCTTTTCTCTTCCTTCCTTTCCATCTTTCTCCTCCTTAGTTCCCCTTCCCACTTGAGCATTTTCTTATCTCATCGTATCTAATATACATTCTGGTCCTTATTTACACTTTCAGCAGTTTTTCATACCAGGGAAACAATGTAAGATGTACATGTGTCTGATTTATTTCATTTATGAGTATGCTCTCAACCCATTTACCTAGTAATGTCTCATGTTTAGCCTTTTTTTTTTTTTTTCCTGTCACCAGGAATCAAACTCAGGACCTTGCACTTGCCACAGGCGGCACTGTGCCACTGAACTATATCCCTGGCTCAAGTTTATCCTTCTTTATGGCTAAGGATTTAGCTATTATAAACTGCACCACTATAAGTATGGGTATGCATTTCTCACTGTGGTACAATGTTTCTAATTGTTTTGGGAAGATACCCAGAAGAGGAATCGCTGGGTCGAATAGGATGTCTAGTTTTAGTTTTTTGAGCAATCTCTACAGTGATTCCCACCAAAAGTGGAAAAGGGTTCCTTTTCCCCCCACAACCCTGCCGGCATTTATTACTGGTTGATTTCTTGATAACTCTCATTCTTTCTGTAGAGAGATGAAAACTCAGCATTGTTTTAATCTGTTTAATCTCTTAAATAACCAGAGATGTTAAACATTTTTTCTTATAGTCACTTGCTGTTTCTACTCCTTCACCTGAGAAGTATCTATTCATTTCAGGTGCCTATTTTTGAACTGGGTCTTTAAATTTGGGGAGTCTAACTTTTTTGAGTTCTTACTGGAGTAGATAATCTTTATCTCAATCTGGTAAAAGCCATCTAGGACAAGCCAACAGACAACCTCATACTAAGTGGTCAAAACCTGAAAGTTTTCACTCTAAAAAATCAAGAACAAGACAAGGATGTCCACTATTACCACTCCTTTTCAATACAGTCCTTGAAACTTTAGCCAGAGTAGTTAGATAAGAGAAAGAAATAAAAAGAATAAAAATAGGAAAGGAAGAAATTCAATTATCGTTATTTGCAGATGACACGATACTCTACACAGAAGACCCCAAAAACTCCACCAAAAGAATCCTAGATTTACTAATCAAATTCAGTTGCAAGCTGGATACAAAATCAACAGTCAAAAATTAATAACATTTCTGTACACAAATAAACTCACAGAGAGAAATTAGGGAAACCACATCTTTCATAATAGCATCAAAAAATGAAATATTTAGGAATGAATCTCACAAAGTAAAAGACCTCTACATTAAAAACTACAGTACTCCAAAAAAGGAGAATGAAGAGGGTATCAGAGAGATCCACCTCTTGCTCTTGGAGAGGAAGAATCAACACAGTGAAACAGCCAAACTTCTAAAACTGCTATATAGGTTTAATATAACCCTAATCACAATACCATTAGCATACCTCACAGAATTCAAGAAAACAATCCTGAAATTCATTTGGAATCAGAAAAGATCTAGAATAGCAAAACAACTCTGGACAACAAAGGTAAGGCAGGCGGCATCACAATCCCTGACTTGAAATTATACCACAGAGCCCAATAACAAAACTAATCTGTATCTTTCACTATATACTAAACTAAAATCAAATGGATCAAAGATCTAAATATTAAAACAGAAATGCTAGAATTTCTGGGAGAATAGAACTCTTAAAGAAACAGGCATTTACGAACAAAACCCCAACTGTACAGGAAATATTTCAAAGAACTAAGAACTGGGATCTCATCCTATTAAAAAACTTTTGCACAGCAAAAGAAATCAACAGAGTGAAGAGACAACCCACAAAGTGGGAAAAATTTTGCTAGCTGTTTTTCAGACAAAGGATTAACTCAGGGTTTTAACTAAAGACATACTATTATCTATGTTAACTAACACTGCTGACTTACATCATTTACAAAAATTTCCCTTCCCTCTGTCTCCCCTTTCTCTGATGAAGTGGCTTAATTTTCATATTTGTCATTCAATCAACAATTTTACTCTTGTAAAACCATGACAAAGATAAACTCTTACTTAAATTTTAAGGAAAAAACAGATTTCAAAAACAGATTGTATTCCAGTAGTATTAAGCATCTTCAAGAATTAAACTGACAAGTTTCCCTAAAAACCCTATCAATTTTAACACTCGCTACTAAAGTGCCTTCCAAATTATATTCTGGAGTGCACAAGACTTGACCTGTAACAGATATTAAAACTTGCCATTTTGATATACATTTCAAACTTCAGATACCAAGGTCTGAATGTCCCACAAAATGTAACATAAATAATAGTAACAAGTAGCCAGTTGTCATTGTCACAACTCCCTGGACATGCTCAGGAGGAGCGAAATGTGCAGCAAACTGGGGAAAGGAAAAGACTGACCAGTATGCCTTCAAAAAGAGCATCACAAACCAAGTTTCACAATTCCTATCCTTCATTTAACTATCACAAAAAAATTACTCGTTTTGATTTAAAATGCTTTCCCCGATTTTGATAAAAAGAAGAATTTTGCAGTATGTTCATGACATATATCACTCAAAGTTATAACACATATAAAAGAATTCTATTTTTTCATGTGTATTTTTGCGTATGTTATAGTCTGTGTCTTAGACTTTTTCGGAGGCGAGTGACTCTAGAGTTTGTGACTGATCCAAGGCCCGATGCTGGGATTAAGGGTGTCAGTCTTCACCCACACAGGTAGCCTGCATACAACAGAAAAGCCAAAAAGCGGCCTGCCTCTCCCTCTTTGCTGCTTGGCTGCTTTCCTCTGCCGTGAACTGCTGCCCCTCTGACCTGTTCCCCACTTTGCTGTGTGCAACCCTGTCTTGGAACCAGGTGATTACGGACTGAAACTTTTCCAAGCTGTGACCTAAATAAACCTTTCCCCCTTTAACTTTGGGTGTGAGATATTTTGTCTCAGCAATAAGAAAAGTAACTAAGATATCCACTTAGTATTCTGTCAGAAAAAAAGGCCACTGTCTTTATTCAAGGTCCTCATAACTTCCAGCAAGAATCCCTTCCTGTCACTTCAACTTGAACAAGTAGGGTATGCAGGTATCCTGATATTATTACTGAACAACTGGAGGTCACAGAGAACCATTTTACAGTAGGCACTGACCTATGTATGTAACCTTTGTGCATACACATGTATTATAAAGAGTAATATATGTATATACACACATCTAGAAAGACAAATTTAAAATGAACAGTGACTACCTTTGGATATCAGATCGAAAGTTTCTATTTGCTTATCTTTTCCTAACTTGACTGCAGCAATAATGCTAAAATGTTTATTTTTATAGTCCACTGAACTGGTTTCAACAGAACTCTCCTCAGACAGTACCTAAAAAAGAATAATTATCAACATATCTAGGTATGCTGGTAAATTTGTTCTAAAAGGCCACTGCACATATGCCACCCTCATATAATTAACCGTTAGGTACAGCAAATCAAATCCCTGGAAGATTTACCTTCATCATACATTTCTTCTATTAAATAGGCCTCTGCTCGATCTTTCAGAGCATTCACATTGTCAGGTTCCATCTGTAAAACTTCAGAACATACTCTAATAGCTTCAACAGGCTTCTCATCCTAAAAGCAAATGTCAGAAAAGAACTTAGGGTTGTTAACCCACATGTTAAATATTTCTATGTCTGGGAACAAATCAACTGTTACCTTAGAAAAGCAGTGACAAATCCTTTCTTTTGAACGAATTGTATATTCAGCGATGTTGGGCTCCATTTTCATGACAGATTCATACTTGCTTATGGCATCTGTGTATCTGTTAAATGTGCAAATCATGATCAGTAACACTGAAGTTCTACTTCCTGCGCTAGAGAAAGGACCCTCTCCCTTCACTATGTGTAGGCTCCTTAACCAATTCAACTGAGTGAGCATCTGCCTTCCCACTCTGCTCTCACCCAGTCACACAGAAGGTTCAATCTGAGGGAGGAGTTACAAGAGCAGGGGATGTTTCCCGTGAGTACCAATCAAACCCCACACCGACATCCTCATGGACACAACTCACAATTTTCAAATATTAAAGCACATAGTCTGCCTAATACTGAGTGCAAAATAGAGATCAAGTTTTATTTCTTGACTTCTATACACTTTATGAAAATAACAGAGCCCAGTATGTGCCATTTTATATAATTAATATCATACATTCACAATTAAGTACACTGTAGAAAGCATCTCCTTAAATTCCCAGCTTTCTAAGAGCAATGAAGCTATAGTCCTATCTTTGTATGTGACTGATCTGAAAATTGTTGAATCTTACACTGTCTGCGCTTCGATGGGAAAATTTTGCCTCAGCATTTACGATCTGTCTGATACTCAGGGTCCACTGCCACAACACTCACTGCCCTTTCCAGTCAAAGCAATCTGACTGGTACTCGCCGTTTCTGGTACTCGCCGTTTCTGGTACTCATTGTGCATCTTAGAACCAATTGACAGTAAGGACCCAGGTACCACTGTATCACATCATTTTCTTTAAACTGGTGAAAAGTGCTAGTTAGTAAAAGCTAGACTAGTTATTATTTTTAAGAATAGCCAGCTAAAAGATATTTATATGCAATTGTGGCACATAATTCCAAAAATGCACCAATCTTCACATTTAAATGCTAACATATTACACAGATTTAAGTAGAACATTTAAAAGAAAAGCTAGCTTCTGGGAAAGTAAAGTAGGTGTACTTTTCTCAATTCCTCCAGCTAGAGAAAACAGCAGATTAGCAAGCACCCCATGACTAAGGAAAAACATGGTAGTGAGTTCCCTGGGTTTCTAATATCCCAGACTCAGTGCTGAAGAGGCCAACAATCCAGAAATGCAGAACAAAAACCAAGTCTGCTTTCCCTAACCAGAGGACCTGGAGAATGCTGTCCAGAAAGGTCATAAACTGCCTATAATAAAAGCTTTAGCCCAGGCAAATGCTTCAGGTGAAATCACGCCTCTCCAGCACCATCGCTGTCCCAAATGCCAGCGAAGACCAAGAGCCTTGACTTTCTCCCTGATGACGCTGAACAAGATTCTGCTCCATATCTATCACAGTGGTGTCAAGAGAAGGCCAAGAGGGGCCCAGACTTTCCTCCATAGTTGATAATATGTCCTGCTCTCCTCCCACTGTGTTGTCAGTGGAAACCACATAAGGAGCCACAATGCTGACCTGCACCAAGCTACCTGTGACACAGCAAGAAGACTTCTTTCCCTCAGGTATCAACAAAGGCCAATGGGATACTTCCATACCCTCACTTTGCTGGAACATATCAATAAAGCTGGCCAAAGCAGAAGGTTTAAATAAAAACCAAAGCCTTAACATAAAATGAAAATTCTAATTTCCAGCTAAAAACCACTCATCATACTAAGAAATATGGAAGTCTCAGATTTAATGAGAAAAGAAAACCACTGAATCCCAACCAAAAGGACAGAGATGTTAGGCTTATCTGTCAAAGATGTTAAAAGTACTCATAAAAAAGTAGCAATTACAAATAAGCTTGACACGAAAAACATAGAATGCCTCTGCAAAGAAATAGTCTCAATCAAGATCAAAAGACACAAGGAGTCAACAAATCAAATTCTTAGAACTAAATGGAAAGATAAAGCCTGCTGAATGTACTCAATAGAAAAACCCGAGGGGACAGATGAAACTATTACTGAATACAACAGAAATTATCATATTTGAACAAGAAAGACTTTAAAAATTGAAAAGAGCCTAGGGGAATTATAAGGCTGTAACAGATGATCTAATATTAATGTCTCCTTAGTCAAAAGAGAAAAGAGAACAGCTGGAAAAGTCCTCCTAAAAAAAAAATGAGTGAAAACTTCCTATATTTGAAGACACACAAACCTAAATACAGTCATGCACTGCTTAAAGACGGGACTACTTTCTGAAAATTACGTATGCCAGTTAGGTGACTTCATCATTCTGCAAAAACAGAACCCTTACACTAACCTAAATGGTACAAGTCAACCGTCTGACTTGGCCTCCAACACGAGATGTTTAAGGCGGCTGCCAACATAATGTAGCATCTTCATTTATAATAAAAATTTTTAACTTTCTAATAATAAAAAATATGGTACGATAAAGTATATAAACGACTAATATAGTTCATTTTTACTGTCAAGTGTAGTGAATTATACTTTCATATGACTGCCAGACTTGTGTCTATTTAGCATCACCACAGAATGCACTGAGTTGCAAGGGTTATGATGTCACCAGGCAAAAGCAATTTTCCACCTCCCTCATCTATAGGACTGCCACTGCATATGTGGTATGTCCTGACCAAATGGCATGATATAGTGTCTGACTACATTCAAGAAGTCAAGTAACTGGCAAATAGAATCAACGAAAAGAAATCCTTGTCAAGAATATCAGAAAATTCTCAACACTAAGAAAAGAAAGTCTTGAAACAGTTTTTCCCTTTTAAGTGCCACTTCCTATCAGAATAACAAAAGATTTCTCAACAGAAACTATGGGGGCCAGAAAGTGGTCCAAAATTTTGCAGATACAAATAAGAAAAGCTCTGTTAATCTAGAATCCAAATCCAGAGAAAATTTCCTCCAGTAATTAAAGGGAAGTTAAGACACTCTCAGATAGAGAAAAACTAGGAAGTATGTTACCAAAGCCCTCCCTGAAGGGAGTTCTCCAAACAGAAAGTATGGGTCTGAGGATGGAGTTCAAGAGCAGACCATGTGCCCAGTATATACGAGGACCTGCACCAAAGGGTGGGGGGAGCAGGGATATAAGAGCATCTTGGAACATTAAGGAGGAACAAGGAGCGTGGTAAGCAAAATATGAATCAAAATCTGAACATATATTTGACATAGCTTGTCCCCTAAAAGTTTGCATGCTGGAAGCCTGGCCCTTGGTGTGGCAGAGGTGAGGCCAAGTGAAAGCTAACTAGGTCATCAGGGGACTACCCTTGGAAGGGATTAACATAGTTCTCCAGACCCATGTTCCCTGTCAAGACAAAGTTACTATAAAGCAAGGCCATCTCACATGCTTGGCCTCTTCTGTTTCCCTGCCACACTGTTGTATAGCCAGGGACCCCCTACCAGGATGCAGGTACTATGCTGTTTGGACTTTCCAGCCAGAAGCATGAGACAAACTTTTCTTTATTTAAAAAAAAAAAAAAATTACCCAGTCTTACATAGTTTGTTACAGCAACACAAAACACACTAAATTCTCTAAGCTTTGTTCCTCTTCAGTATCTAAATTATGTTCAGTGTTGAAACAAAATTTGTAACAGTGTCTAATGTGGTACAGAAAATATTTAAGACAACTGCAAACAGGAGAGGGTAAAGGTAAATAGACGAAACAAAAGGTCCTTTTATCCGATTCAGTTGCTGAAATGACACCAATAGACTCTAATGAAGTTATGTCATAGCCACAGTAAACTCTAAAAATACAGCTGAGTGTGGTGTTAGATATTAAATGTTACATTCCCTCTGGAAATCAATTTGGCAATTTCTTACTGACTAAACATGCAACTACCAAGCAGCCCAGCAAGAGCACGGCTGACACTTACTCCAGAGAAATGAAAACTTACATTCATGCAAAGCCTGTACATAAAAACAGCATTATTCATTAATAGCCAAAATAGCTGTAATGACCTCCAGTGGGTAATTGCTAACAAACTTTGGTACATCCAAACTGTGAAACTACTCAGCAATAAACAGAAAGGAAATATGAATACACAAAATAATCTGGATTAATCTCCAGAGAATCATGCTGAATGGAAAGAAGCCAACCCCAAAAGTTTACATTCTACAGGACTCCATTTCTGAAACATTCTTGAAATGACACCACCACAGAAATAGAGAACATACTAATGTCTCTAGCAGGTAGGGAACAGACAGGGACAGAAGAGCAGTCCTGGCTATCAAATGGCTACATGAGACCCTAGTGATGGAATTAATATCCTGATTGTGATAGTATACTATAAATTTCCAAGACATTACAATTTGCAAGACATTGGAGGAAACTTCCTAACACACTCCTATGAAGAGAGTTAAAAAAGAATTAGGATGGGGTAGGGGGGTCAGAACCTACCTTCTACTAGGCTGAATTGTGTGGCAAATTCTCTATTCTCTTTAACTCTCCTATGCTAACCTGTAAAACCCCTACAAATACTCCTCACACAGACAGAAGCCTCAATTTTGGGCAATACCTACTTATTCTTCAAGATGAGCATTTAAATATCTATCACCTCCCATAAGTTTCTCTTACTCTTGGGCTTCACCACTGCACTGGATTAATTGTCCTCCTTTTATACTGTGTACACTCTAGCACTCTGTACCATTATCTTTTAAGAAGTTTATATATCTGTCTCCCACACATGTTATAAACTTTTTAAGACCAAAAACTATTTAGTCAAGCTCATTTCTATATTCTTGGCACATAGCTCAGTGCCTGATACAAGATGCAATAAAAGATCTGGCCTAACAAATAAATGTGCACGTAAGCATAGTATGCAGTTCGCATTACAGTGGTGCCCAATTCTCTCCATGATTCTGGTCACACACTACCTTGTTCCACAATGCGCTATCCTTAGGCATGGTTTTCCTTAGGCCTTGTGCCATCTTACCCTCAATAACCAGGAAACCACGAGCAGACAGTCTAGTGGCCCACTGTGCCAACATCGGGGATGAAAGTCTGCATCGTGGAAATAAGCGCATTCTTACCTGCTGTCTCTGATGAGCTCTTCAGCTGACTCAATCAGCTTATTAAGTTTCTTCACTTGTTTATAGTGTGCAAAACACCTTTTATGATCCTGATCAAGTTTAAGGCATTCACGAACTTCACTGCTCGTATATAATTCAAAAAAGAAAAATAGTGCAAGTTAAAATAATGAATAGTTTTGCACATTACAGAAAATGTGTTTTATTGGTAACAACTAAAACATACTGCCTTAATAATTAACTATGCAGTTATATATAACACCATACCACAGATATACTAATTCAAATTGAATGACTTGTACATCCTCTATTGTACTTCTGCAAATAAAAGAGCCCTCCCATTTACTTCAGTAAGTGTAGTTAATGAAATATTACTTAAAATCAAAGTAACTTAGGGATGACAAAGTATATAAATGGAAACAGAATATAAAAGAGATTTCATCACAATTTTACTGGTTTAATGTTGATAAGTTTAAATGAGGTTATTCTTACTGCCAATGATGAAAGAGTAATCAGAATGGGCATCAGCAGAACTGACCTGAGGGACAGCTCATGGTCTCCGAGTTGGTAGTACAGTGTGCTGATTTTATAAAATGCCTCAGTATTATCATTCTTCAACTTGGACGCAGCTTTTAAGTCACTTATAGCCTTCCGAGGTTCCCCTTCTCTTATGTAACATTCAGCTCGAAGTTCCCGTAGTTCTGCATCCCAAACACAAACCTTAAGAAACAAAAGAACTAAACTTTAAGAAACAATAATTATGCACATTTTTGCATCCTACCTAATTTTATTGATATATTTATCAACACAAAACATCCTCAATGATGTGATGGCATTTGTTCTGTAAAAAGTGTTTAAATGTCTGATACAATTTAAATATGACAGTTTCTCCAAAGACATGTTCAATTCTTACTGGAGAAAGTATGTACGTATATACACACACACACACACACACATAGATACATATATATGGCCTCTTTCCTTTTGTCAATTATATATAAAATTCTAAAATTCTGAATGTAAGAAAACACAGCATTTACTATTAGAAGCCTACCCCGAGTAAAGTATATTTGAAGAGAGTATTTCACAATCAGATTTGCACTTAACAAATATAATTTCTAGTAAAAAAAAATCTGATTCTAAATTAGCAAATTATTTTATTCTACTGATAACTAAGTGAAATTCTCGCTTATACAATGTCATCTCTTTGAAATTAAATCGTTTTTCAAAAAAGGGGAAGAATTCCTTACAGACGAAAGGGAACACAAATGAGAGTGAATTCCTCCAACTTGGTGCTCAAGAAAAGCAGCTGCTCTGAGGCGAGGGTGGAAGATAAAGTCTGATATGAGTTAATTAGATATGGGTTAATTAGATATGGGTTAACTAGACCAAAGTTCAGAGCTTGGAGGGTAAGAGAGGGAAAACTGGGCCACACCAGGCTCATGCTGCCCCGCCGCCCAGCCAGACCCAGCCCCCCTGTCATTCTGGGAAGGGGCTGGGCTGACTGAGTGCAGGAGGGCACAGGGCTGCCCCTCAGGGACCACTGAGCACATTCACAAACCTCCCCACTGCACACAGAAGTCAGACAACTTCGACCCAGGACTCAAAAAAACTGAAAATAGCAGCTTTTTTGGGGTACAATTTCACTGCCACACACACATCACCCCCTTCCCAAGACCCTGTAGGCAACAGAACAGCAAGAGATAAAAGGTTCCCCCAATACAATTTTAATAGTAACAATAACAAGCTTCTTATTCCCATACTCAATGGGAGTGCAGTATGTGGAAAATTAGGTGCCCTCCTGCTTAATAAAGGACTCAAAACAACCAGGCAAGGGCCAAGTCACATGATTTCGTCCATAACATTATCAAATAAATGCCCATTTTATACACACATTTACTTCCAAGACACAATGAAACTGGGTGTCTTAGGCTATGAAAATGGGAATTAAATATGAATTGCGATTTCATTCTCAAACCATCTGTCATTAAATCCTCCTGAGGCAAAGAGATCCGATCTAAACTTACATTGCCCTCTAAAACCTCTGGAGCCTATCAATCCTACCTGCACCCTTTCCAAGAAACCTTTCATTATAAATACTTCTCTTTCCAACATTATTTTTCCTTTTGCATCAACCAACTTTCATCTTTTAACTTATTATCTTACCTCTAAAGTTGTCTTCCCCAGAAAATACAACATCAAACCAAAACAGCAAAACAAGCAATGCATAAAAATATGTGACTAGGGGATTTAGCTCAGTGGCATAAGCACCTGCCTGGCAAGCGTGAGGTCGTGAGTTCAATCCCCGGTACCAAAAAAACAAACAACAAAAAAAAGTGACTCTCACTCTCACATCCCATTCACTGAAAGTTTTAGTTGCAAATTTTTTCTACAGAAACAGAGTCACTAAAGAGCTGAAAGCTCAACTATCAATCTGATTTTGTCCCATCTAGGTATTTTGTGGTCAGAGAGCATATCAAAGTACATCAACATGTTTATAGTAAAGAGCTGTACATGTCAGGCTTGTCGGCCCCAGTATCTAAGAAACTTACCTCTAAAATCTTATCAAGGAAGCTTATTGCAGCAGTATAATCTACACTTTCAAAAGCATCAAGTGCTTGTGAACGCAAACGCTGCATTTCATCAGACTTTGTAAGCTGAGACTGGGCTTCATTTTCTTCATTTTCACTTGGATTAGATTTGAGCTATAAAAATAATGACAAATTAAATTAAGCAGAGTTTGTAATCTCAAATTCCATATCCACAAGACACACATAGATCTGACCATTCCCAACAGTGTGGAGGAGACCCCGGTGCAGAACACCCAGCTGTGCCACGCCCAAATTCCTAACACCAGAAACAGAGGTAACAGCAGTGCGCTGCTTTAATCTGCCAAAGGTGGGTCATCTGCCATACAAGTAATTTCTCAGTAGTCATGAGGTACCACAGTGGGAACTTAAGTCATTCCACAATTCTGGGGAAGAATGCTGCATTCATATTCGAACGCTTGTGTGTGTGACCTGAACTGTGTGTAAACAGAAGTGATCATGAACAGAGGCAACAGAGGCACAGGGATTACTTCAGTCTCCCTGGAGGGATTACTTCTGAAATGCCTGGCTCTCTCTTGCCTACTTTTACACAAGCTCCTCAACACTGCTCTGAATGGTATACCTACTCACCTTGCTAACACTAATGCAACCATTTAAAAAGATTAAAATTGCAAGCAGATAACCTGTTTTAGGAAAGTCCTTCTTGACTCCAGATCCCCAGATCCAAGCTAAATCTAGATGATTTTCATGTATATTTCCAGAAGACCTAATCACAGCACTTACTCTATAATATCTGTCTAATAAGGTCTCATCTTAGTGCAGAGACTAGCTTTCTCCATCCGCCATGCTGTACTACCTACATGTCTACCCAGCAAAGGACATGTACTCCACCCTCACGGAACCGCCACACCATCAAATACACTCACTGGACCAAGAGCCACTGACAGCTCCAAGATAAACTACATAGCTGCAGATCCTGCTTAGGAGTAGGGCAGCCTGTATGGACCTGAAGCAATACTTACTCAAAACAAAATCTCACTATTTTATAAAACATAACTACTGGTTACATGTAGAAATACATGAGTATGTGAAATTTTTTGTAGTATTTCTTTAGGCTAGTAAATGATCTTAAACAATAAAAACAGCTTGTTTAACTGTAGGCATACAAAATAACCAAATGACTAAGTAACACTGAATTGACAAATATCCAAAAATTAAAGTGTAAGAATTCTTTAATTAGTGAAGATAAAAATACAATCTTGACAAAACTGATCCTTTCAAATAAGACCCAGAAATCATTCATTTTTTATGGTAACAACGTATCATATGTCAGCTACCAAACCTCTATACTTCAAGTGAGAAAAAGGAAGTCCTCAGAAGACAAGAATTTTCCAAGGTCACATATACAACATGTATAAAATATAGTATTTTCTGAATAAGTAATATGGTTATTTGGAATACTTTTCCTCCCAAAAGGTAACCAATGTTACTAGTTTCCTACATACATTTCCAGAGTTATTTTACCCATCTTCAAGCAAATATGTGTTTTCTCACTTTTACACAAATAGCAGCAGCTGTTCTGCCTTGTCTAAAATACATGTTTGAAATCTGTGCCCTCATTCCACAGGGAAGTCTTCAAAAGGATGGGAGTGAACAGTTACTAATTATCACAAAGAGTAGAAAGCACACAGTGTTTAACAGTGCAAGTTGTGGAATCTAAAACCTATGAGATGTTACGGATGGAACATGAAGTATCCCCAGAGTTCTGTGTATTGAGGATACCAGCCTCTTCCACTGACTAATCTACTGATGAGCTAGCTCATGGCTAAAGGGGCTCTTAGGAGGCAGGGCCCAGCTGGAGAAAGTGGGTGAGCCAACCTGCTGCGCCACTAGTGGAAGGGTGTACCCTCTTCCCTGTCCATGTCCTCCCTCTGCTTCTGGCCACCAGGAGGTAAGCAGCTTTCCTGTGCTGTGCCCCTCCACCATGATGTTGCTGCCAGTGAATGTGGGCTAAAACCAAAATAAACCTTTTCTCCTTTAAGGACATATTATTTATATATATGGGTATGGTCAGGTATTTCGTCCCACTGAGGAAAACAGGACACTGCAGATTACTAAGCCATCCTAAGCCTCAACGTCCTCTCCTGCATACGGTGACTACCACTACACCACTCCCCAGAGAGGGAACTACGACTAAGAAACAATCCAAGCAAACCACTTAGCACCATTCCAGGCACATCCAGAATATGGCAAAAACTAATCTAAAAATCCAAAGTCCTTCTCTCCTGGTTGAAAGCATTTTTTTCTTCAAAACCATCTGTTAACTTTACAAAAGGGGAAATATTCTATCAAACAGACATAAAAATATGCAGTTAGGGTCAACCTTTGAAAAACTTTATTCCTTAGTATGTCTAGTACTATAAATCAACATCATATATATATATTTTAAAAATAGGCTGGGGATCTGACTCAGTGGCAGAAGCACCTGCCCAGCAAGCACAAGATCGTGAAGTTGATCCCCGATACTCCAAGAAAAAAAAGTTTTAAAAGTAAGAATAAAAAGAAATAAGTATAAATTAAGTACTTTACTGATGAAATAGCCACAAAAATTCTTCCATGAAATAACTGGAATTTTAAAAGCACCATTTATAAATCACTTCAAAAGAAAAAAGGCAAAGAGAAAAGTAAAAGAAATGAGAAAAGGTAAAATGGAAGCAAAGCTCTTACAAGTGTGAAGGGGAGGAAAGAAAGGAAGAGAAATGGGGGAAAAAAGAAAAAGTTATATATGTACAGGTGCAAATTCTCTAAGATGAATATGATCATTATGTATATCGAAAATGTACCAATAAAATCTGATTGAAAAAAGGGAAAGAAAAGAAACACTTAGAATAAATATAAAAAAATACACAGAACAGCTGGGCATGGTGATGCATGCCTATAATTATAGCACTTGGGAGACTGAGGCATAGAGACTGCTGCAAGTTCAAGGCCAGTCTGGGCTACAGAGCAAGTTCAATGCCAGCCTCAACTATATAGTGAAACTCTGTCACAAATTACAAACAAACAAACAAAAATACAGGAGCTGTATGCTGTGAAATACAAACTGCTTATGAAATAAATAAAAATAAAACCACCAAAATAAATAGAGAAGCATGAGTTCCTGAATTGGAAAACTCTCAGTTTTCTAAAAAGTTATAATCAACACCTAGTGCAGATTAATCTGTGCTAAAAGTTTACCTTTAACTATTGTGCTATTTCTGTAAGGCTGCTCTTTTGTAAGGATTAGGAGAACCTCTAAGCAACAGATTTAAGCATTTGCAAGAGAAAAAAAACACTTTCTCATGTTCTATCATTCTTCTACATATCCATGTTATATATACACATTTACACAGCTCTGAACAAAAGGCACGGCCAGAGAAAGGTTACTGCAGCACTAACCCCTCCACCACCCGATCACCTGCTGCCCCAGCTGTGAATTCAGAAACTGTGTTTAGCAAGCCTCTTCCCAACAGGAGCAGAGGGCAGTAAAGCATAAAATAGTAGATAATTTATTGGGACTTATAAATAGCTGCTGATTCAATACAATTAAGTCTAATGTTTTTTAATTACCTGCAGATAACTGAGTATTATGACAAGAGCCATGATAGTGTTACACATTTTAGTTTTCATAATTATTATCAGAATAAGCAGTTCAATAAACTACAAAAATCCAAACAAGAAATAACAGATTATATGCCCTTTCTATAGTACTCCAGAAACAAATTCATGTTAAACAAAAATGAAAATTTAAAGCCAAATGAGGGCAAGAATAAAGTGTTTAGCTGTTTCCCCCAGAATCCATTTTGGCATACACTCCACCCCTTTCAAAGGGACTAATCTACATACTCCCCTAACAAAGCCAAACTTTGGATGGCTGGAAAATTCCCTTTAAGAATGTTTCAAGATTCCTCAAGTCAAATGAAAGTCTCTCAAGCAATTTAAAGGACTTCAAGAATAGCTCACCTGATATTTCCAGATTCCAATTTAGGACAAAACAGAGTAAGTGAACTATATAAACTCAGGATTATATATCAATTGTGTACAATTTACCTTCCAACAATTAGTGGAATTCTTCAATGTCAGTCACCAAATATTAAATCACAAGCTCTGTTTCTTATATACAAGACAATTTTCAACCATAAAATTACTATTAAATGACTTAATAGAAAGAAAAAGATAGGTCCAATATCTTCTCTCAAGATAGCATCTTAGAGCTATCTTACAATTACAAACTGAACTTACCACTTTCTTAAAATCATCTTCTGCTTCATCAAGTTTTCCTTGTTTGAGTAATAAATGACCTCTCTGTAATCTTGCCTAGAAAAAAAGAGGGAATTGTGCTAAGTATATATTTCTAAATTTTCTTTAATGACAAGGAATAAAACTAATAAAATTAATATTTCTTTTTCCTTTAACACATAAATTACCAAATCAGTTTTGACTGCTCAATGGTTCTATCTACGCTGCCTCTGAGTGCCACCCACTGGCTGCACACCTGTTACAGCCCTCACGCAGTCCGGCCGCCTGGAGGGTCCTGAACTAAACTACATGTTTCCCCAGCCCTGAAACTTGTGCACTGGCTCCACTAATTCAGCAGGGCATCCACACCAAAAAGCCACTGATTGGCTGAGCTATTTTCTCTTCATTCTTCCAGCTTGTTGACCTCTTAATTTATATCACCTTAATGTCTTACCCTGCCAGTCATCCTTCACACAGATTTATCTTCCTAAACCACAAAGCCAACCTCTGAAAAATCAGCTAGCATACTATCTCATCCTCTCTCACAAAAACTGCTAATTCTAGAGGCTTTGTCAGCTTTGATTTGCTTGGTTTGGTTTAGTTCTGTGAGTTCACTGTGTTGCTCAGGTGGCCTCTAATTTCAAACTCATACAGTCTTCTCCTTCAGCCTCCCAAGGGCTGGGACTACAGTTACATACCGTAATGCCCATGAATTCCAGGTACCTGGAATCCTCTTGTTCCCTGTCCACTGCATCACAGTAGCTTTGACGTATTACAGCTCGGTGAAACATGCAGACCCTCAGTTAAGCAATAAATTACCTCTTCCAAGCTTCCTTTTAAACAAAGCTTAAGTAAACTTACTGCAGTGAAATCCATCTTCAATTCAATCACTTTAGTTAAATCAGGAAGTGCTGCTTTGGATTTGCCCATAGCTAAAAAGACAGTAGCTCTCCGATAGTATGCAATATAGTTTTCAGGGTCACCATCTGAAAATTGAAGTAATACATATTAGCCCTCTAACTGATTCAAAAAATCCAAAACACCTGGTGAGTTTTAGTATCCAGAATTCTATTAAGAAAAGAATTTCTTCACCAAAAAGGAGTCATGAAAGCAATGGGGATGGCACTGGATTCAATCACCAATGCCAAAATATATATAAATATGTTTCATATATTTTTACATATACTTCACACACACAAAGTACGTTGCTCAGCAAGAACATTAATTACATTCAACTAATAATTAATAATTTTTTCCTTGCAGTCAGAACTTTCACAATGAGTGATATATATCCCCTGCTCATTTTATTTATTTTTTGAGATAGTTTCACTAACTGGCTAAGGTGCCCAGGGTGGGCTTATCCCTTCCATCCTCCTGCCTCAACCTCCCGGGATGCTGGGAGGTGTCGCGACCCTCACCTGTGAAGGTGTGTGTCACCATACTCAAGTCAACTCATAATTTTTGTTAAGTATGTAATTTAGTCCTTGTCTTTCCTGAGATTTTCTTAAGTGAAATATAGATTAAGAAAGTGGATTCTCAGCCAGCTACAGTAAGCTACACCCGGAATTCCTGTTACCCACTCTCAAAGTTAAGAGAGAGAAAGAATGAAAGGGCTAGTGATATAGCTCAAGTCTCTAGGTTCAAATCACCAGCACCACAAAAAAAAAAAAAAGGTGGCCTGCATTTATTCATAAGATTTTAGAAAATTATCAACTCTGACCACTGGTGCAATCTCTGATTCCCACAAATGTTACCTAAAGTGGCAGTGAAGTAATAAAGATACATACTACAGGGACAACAAAATCCAACAAGGAGACTAGAGACAGGGGGTAGAGAAGTTAACATTAAAAGAAGGAAAGCACATGCCTGTAATCTCAGCACTCAGGAAGGCTGGGGCAAGAAAACTGCAATGAGTTAGAGGCCAGCCTGGGTTACACAGTGAGTTGAAGGCCAGCCTAAACTACATAACAGGACCCTGCCTCAAATTTTAAAAAGAAAGAAAATAACAAATGGCCTCAAACAGTCAGATCATTTTCTCACATGAAATCAGTACTGACGTTTGCAAAATTTGGCAGTTTATTTGAACTCAGTGTGAAGTTCTTTTAAAAAGAATGCTTATTAGTAGCTTATTATGAACAATCTGTTTTATGTAAACTAAAATGGTAACAGTTCTCAAACTACACCAGCCTTCCTCAGAAGTTATGCCACATAACCCCACTGAGAATCACTACTTGCTAAATCATGAAAATGACACTGGTGTTCAACTCTGGAATGCACTAGAAGTATTTCATTTTGAACCCTCCTTTCATCGAATTTTACAAGTAAGTTACCATGACACAGCTTTACTGTTTACATTTTTCGGAAAGTAATATTTTGCTGGTTATTCTGGGAAGAAACATCTTAAAAAGTCTTATATTGCAGTGGTGAACTGAAAGTAGTTATTGTGAAGTACTTTAACATTGTGTCAACATCCTTAAGTAGGAATATTTTGTCTTAAGACATGTCTTTTTTTAGACAGCAAATGAGAAACAATTTAAATCACCAAGTTGCAACAATGAAGACAAACAAAGTACAGACTTAGTAATGATCTGGTCTTATAGTAAATGGCCCTTAGCAAAAAACAACTTGTACAAATTGTTAAGCCAACTACTACCTCTCAAGATGAGTTAATCATTCAAGTGCAAACTTCCAAAGGGAAACTCCATTGTTAAGAAAACTCTATGAATACATCAAATGTATTTATAGAAAAGTCTTAGCAGAGATTAAAAAAAAACTAGATTTCTTTACATGTGTCAAAAAAATCTTTATAGTCATTATTCCTACCTAATCTTCACAAAAAATTCCTTAAAGTGGCACAGTAAACACCACTAAGAATCTATAGGCAACTTATTTTCTTACATAACAAGTACAGTATTATCAATGAAAAAGACAAAATGAAAATCTATTTTTCTTATTACTCCAGAAAGCTAGTTAATAATCCACAAAAATCTCCTCAACCCCACCCTTTTTCTAAAATTAATCTATTTTTTTTCTTACATTTTTTTTTCAATTAAGGGAAAACTAAATTTAAAAATAGCGGGATATATTATAGTAACTTTTTTGTTTTCCTATTAACCTGATATGATCCCCAGTATTGCTCTCCCCATTTTTTTCTGTCAGATTTTACTATATTCTATTTTGTTTGATAGTATCAAGTTTGAGGGTATAGGCAATCACTTTGAAGGCAATAAGATTCATAAGATGCCCATTATGGTTTGATTATTATCTTCTTTTGAAATCCTGTAAGGTCTCCAGTGTAGGTTTTATTGGTCTTGTTCTGTACTGTTTTGATCAATTCCATTACACCTGACGATACAGGCAACTTTTTAAAAAAATAGCAAGAGGCACAATGGTAATCATTTTAGATCACCTGATATTCTATTTTTACATCATGTACTATGTCCATCCTTTTGCTCTAACCGACTCTGTTTTATTTAGCCACGTTAGGTGTTATTCTCTCCAAAAAAATAATAAGAATTGTGGGAATAAAAAAAACCCAAAAAGTGTAACTGTTATTAAAAAGAGAGGAAAGGAAGGTGGTCTAAGGGATATAACTGCATGCATGTTTGAGTGTGTAGGATAGAAATCCATATTACTGAACTTTTGTTGGATCATTGATTGGCACTGTCTGCAATCTCATTGTATGAAATGTTCACTTTACATGCTTTAATTTTATAATTTGGACAACTATTTCAAAGATGACAATATTTAACCTATTAACTAATGATATCTTACTGTATTTTTTCCTTGAAATTCTGTATTATTTGTACCCTTTTACTGTTTGTTTTTTTAAATTTTATTTTTTTCCTCTTTTTATTATTTAAATAAATAATTTTAAAAATCCACAAAAATCTGACTTTAAAAAGAAGCATAAAGAAAAATACTGCCAAATTAAAATGTACCTTTTTTTGTTCTCATAGAAACTTTTAACAATAAGATGATAATTCTCCTGAGAGCACTATCTTCTTGACCTGTCAAGTTGTTGACTGGACATTGTCAACCATCTCAAATCAAAATGAAATATATGAGTAAATTAAAACACAACTTTGAAGAAAATCAATATTGAAAAATCTCTATAAAAGTTTATATAGTGACTTGTAAGAAAACTCCTTAAGAGTTTTCTAAATATCTACCATGGTTAGTTATTTCATCTCACTTTTCAGTCCTGTTTTGTTTTGTTTTATTCTGTTTTTGAGACAGGGCTTTACTATACAGTTCAGGTTGGCCTTGAACTCATTTTTTAGCCCAGACTGGCCTCAAACTTACAGCAATCCTCCTGGCTCAGCCTCCCAAGTGCTGAAATGACAGGCATGTACCACCACACCCAGCAGTCCTGACACATTAAAAGCTATTATGATATCTGATACTACACACACATAAATAAGCTAAAAGAAGGAACAGCATAAAAGGCAGCTGGAACATGACCAATACTAAAGAGGCAGTGACTCACAGGATCTTTTAAGGACATCAATGCAATTACTATATGTTGACCCAAGTTATCAATAACATCAAACTGCACTCAGTGAAATCCACTTAAGAAGGTAGAAAACTGTGGGCCGGCAATATAGTTTAGTGGTGCATCACCCAGCTGGCAAACGTGAGGTCCTGAGTTCAATTATCAGTACAAAAAAAAAAAAAAAGGAGGAGAAGGAAGAGGTAGAAAACTACATAATACACTGAGAAGTTTTGTCAAAATCATGACTTTGTCTTAGCAAATATTATAGGAAGCCTTGGTTACCTCTTATGTCAAGTATATATGCATTAAAAAATTGCACTTTATTATTACAGTATTTAACATGAAATTATGCTTATTTAAAATGTTACTTTAAAAAACAACCATGATGTAGTATTCAGAAAACACCCCTTTAGTGTCTGGTTATGATACTAACCTACTGCAGCATGAAACTGAGATAAAGCGTCAGCTAGCTGTCCAGCTGCAAGTAATTTCTTGCCCAATTCAAGATGTTTCTCAACGTCTGCATTTATTCCACATTCAGCACCTAAAAACAGTTTAAAAAATCATTTAGCTCTCCATGAACCGTGATTTCATTCTAAAAAACATCAAGTTAAGATAGTTATCTGGCTTAATCATCTCTGTAAGTGGAAAAGGTCACAGAAGCTGAAAAGAAAGTAACAAACACAAACAGTAATACAGTGTAAAAGCCGCAAAATATACCAACCTAACCAGTCAAAATAATAAACCATTCCAAAATTGCCTAACACAGTAGCAGTAGAAATACTTTGAACAGTAAAATTAGAATTGCTTTGTTAAACTCTTAGTAAACATTATATTGTTTGCTATAATATTTAGTATTTACTGAACACCTACAATGTGCTAGGAACTGTTCTAGGTATTTGGGATAAGAGTTAAAAACAAACCTGCTTCTTGTCCCTTGCAAGTACCTGATATGATGACAAGTGGGACAGATGTAGTAAGTAAATTCCGCAGTACCTCAGGTGACAAGTACTGTGGACAGAGCTGTGGACTGTGAGGGTGAGGCCGAGAGGGAGGTCACGGTAAACAAAGCAGTCACGCACAGGCCCTCCTAAGAAGCGGACATCTCAGCAAGACTACAGTGAGGGACTCACTTGGAGGCAGCTAGGAAAAAAGCTTCCCTAGGCAAAGGACCGGCTAGTGCAAGGGCCTTAAATCCGGAGTGTGCAGATATATTCCAGGACCAGCAAGGAAGCCTGGATCACCACAGCAGAACCAGCAGACCACAGTGAGTGGTATGAAGCCAAAGAAGTAAAAGGGCCTGATTATGAAGAGCTTTCATTTGACTCAGTGAAAAAGGAAGCTACTGACCCATTCAGAGTAGAATAACATGCTATGACTTGCCAATTATCAATGATACGACTCCAACCCTGAATTCTTCCTTTGACATCCATAAAGCAATCATGGAGCAGCATTTTAAGCATGTTACGATTTGTCAGTAAAGGGCACAGAGAGAAGTGCAGGAAGGAAAGCGACCTCCTGGTTCTGTTTGAGGCATTTTATCTTTGCCTGGCTCCTACTCTACGGTGTGTATCTTGGGACACCCAATGGTGCTGTGCCCTAGGAATATGTCCCTCAGCCACCCAGCACCTCCTCCCAACAAAGGCATAATCCACAGCAGTGCCTGACTACCCCATACACAAGCCAGCCAACCTTCTCAGCCATGCCAGATGGCTGTTTCCTGGCTGTCCAGCTGCTGTAGACCAGGCTCTGGGCCCAGGAACGCAGTAAACTTCTCTACCATGAGCAACTTCAGGCTGCAATTGTACTTTATCCAGCCTGAATGGGGGTTTGAACCCCTTGTATCAGGAACCCTCTTTTAAACTGGCCCTTTTTGGGGACTTTCAGCCCTATATTCTTTGGCATTCTGTTCACATCTTTAGCTACTCTCCCAACATAGCTTAAGAAGTCTATTAAACTCTCTTTTTTGGATAGGTATACATGTAGAGATTCACGAAGTCTCGTAAACTTCTAAACAGTTTACGAGAATAGATTATATAACGCACAATGTAATGAACAGATATTCTGAAGAAAAAGAGACACTAAGATAACCAGTGCTAATTCTATAGCGTCATGATATAAAGTCTAGCAATACTATTATTCTCTGTCCAGAGTGATAGTTGGTTTTCTTTTAATTTCAACATATGTAAAGATATGGACCGCTATTTTGAAGAGAACGAGAGGCACTATGGCAGCCACTATTGACTTCCCTCATCTTGAAGAACTAAAATGCCTTCACCACCCTGTTCTGATCAGTTTAGTACTATTTTGTTCATTATGAATTCACTGTGTGTGAAGATGTGGACAACTATTTGGAAGAAAATAAGAGACAATATGATAGACAGTGAAGATCTCTGGCGGTCTTGCTTTGAAATCTATGTTTCTTAAATTGTTTTCTTATGATCTGTTTTGTTATGTTTAATTTTATCCTCTTTAAAATAAACTCTCCTTTTAAATCACTGTGTGCTTTGCCTCCTCAGTGGTGGCTGATGTGCATTTGGCACTGGTAGTAGTCCCGGGAGACAGATCCTTGGAAAGGGATCTGAAGGCCAGGTTGGTCACATCTTTGAGCTCGAGTGCAGAGCAGATCTCCATGCCAATGAGATACTAGTAACCACAGGAAGTGGTGTAAAAAGCTGGATTGCAAGTAACTTGCTCTGCAAGCGTTCCACATGACAAGCAAACATTTATAATGCACTTCAACGTGATAAACCGCCATGTCTTACAATACAAGTAGTGCATGATGCCAAATGCCACAAGATCACAACTGAGCCGAAGGTTCCCCTCCCTCTCCCGCACTTTCTCTCCTTTCCTTCCTCACTCCCTTCCTCTTATCCTCTCTCTGCGAGATTGTAGGCGATTGTCTCCCAACAGCCAGGAAAGGTATTAGTGAGATCTCATCTGCAGAGGAGAAAAAGAAAAAGGTGGAGGAATCCCTCATTTCAAGGGAGACCTTGTAAAATGAGAGAAACTGCAAAATTTTGTAGAAAAGTACCTCCCAAATCAAGCCACAGTAAATGCAAGCGATGAATCTGTTTAAGGACAATTAAATGTCATACTTCAACAAAATTCTCAAAAGGAGGCAAAAGCCAATGTCATTGGATGGTTCCTTGTTAAAGCGTCACAAAAAGGAAGATCCCACTAAGCCATGAGAGCAGTGATTACATCAGTGACAGTGAAAGTGGATCCACACAACAGGCCTCTTCTAACTTGTCTCCCTCACACCAGTCTCAAAGCTTTTCAAAGGTGAAGTGCAGGTTAGTTTATTTTTCTTTACAAAGTATTCTATATTTTATTACTTTATATATATATTACAGCATTATAATCATTTTATATGAATATTTTAGGGTTATGGAATGAATCTTCTGAGTTATGTCTTATAGGGAAATTTTCTTTGATATATATATACAAGTGCTTTGAACTACAATCATGTTTCTAGAACGAATTATGCTCACAAGCCAAGGTTTTAACATACTGTAATCACAACTAAGCTACCACTTAAGGCTGACTGAACAACAGAAGTGGTGAGACACATGTTTTGGAAGGCACAGAACCTGCTGCACTTGACCACAATGACAGAAATAAAAATAAGGACTGTGATGTGGGGTAGATTCTTTCAAATGCACTAAAGCACTTCAAGAAAAATAACAAGATCTGGTCTAACCCTCAGCTCAAGTCACAGTCTGAGAGCTTCCATGACAGCTTAAAAAAATCTCTTTTTTTGTAGCCACACAACTAATTTAGCTAAAAATCAACCACAGATTTTAATTATGAGGGTTGCTGAATTAAAGCAATAGTTTAATCCACAATCTCACCGAGTTTCTCCTGTAAAAGTTAAGGCACAGATGAGTAAACAATGAAATCCTGACAAGTGGAAGAAGAACATATGCTTGGATACAGATGAAATTAACCAATCTGAACTTTCAAGTCTGTCTGAATCTCTTACCAGCATTACTTTGCTCTCATGTGAAAAGCCTAACCTTTGACTGTGTAAAAACCCTAAGACAACCTTACATTGCACAAATGCCTGAAAAGAGATGCCTATCCTCTGCAAAAGTCACCATAATCACATGCCTATTAATTAGAGTGAAATCAAAGCAGACTTCAGGAGGTAGGCAATAGTATATGACCCAAAAGAATTGCAAGGCCTTACTGATAAACTAGCAGGACACCATTGACCACGTATAAGAATGGATTCTAGAGGTATTAAACCACGAAAAGTAGAATATAACATTATATCAGTCTAATATATGTATACATTTACTGAACTATTTTTGTAACAGAATTTTCCTAGAATAAGAGGAAGGTTTCTAGAGGCCTAGAGATACAAGAATGTTGGGTTGGATTTACATACCAACCTCCCACTTTTGTTCCCCAAGACAGCTGACAAGGCACACCTTTTTCTAAGCCATTGAAAAGGTATTAATCAGGGACCATCCACAACCTTCTCAAAGTTCTGTGGTCACTCCCTGACTGGCAGAGTGCAATAGCTGTGATGGGCTTCCAGACTTCAATAGGATGAAGCACCAACACTAACCAGCAGAGACTGTAGAATATAGGTGTATCAACTATAGAAAGCATCCATTACAGTAGAGGTAAAATGACATACTCTGTGAATTCACTCAAATTCTTTCCACACCCTACAAGTGCTTGTAAAATGGACCCAAGGAAAACATGGCCATGGTAACAGGAGTTCAAAAACAAGTTCAGTCCTTGCCAAAATGGATCTGGCTAAGCCATTGCTACACATCAAATCTGCCAGCATCAAACCCATAACTGTGCTTCCAATATGCCATCATGAGGGGGATGGCAGCTACTAGCAGATTGATTTTATCTGGTCTTCTTCCATAATGGATTCCCTTATATTCTGGATGTGCATTTGCCCCTAGCAGCTCTGCCTGTACACCACTGATGGAAACAGAATATACCATCCACCATCATACCATTCTACATAGCACTGTACTTATCAAGATGCTTATTTCACAGCAGCAGAACACAATATGCTCATACCCATACCATAAGTGGCTTTCCCACATACCCTACACACCTGTATTTCCAGTGAATATAGACATGACAAACATTTTCAGAGCTTTCAATGATACAAACAGCCTGCTGCAGTAAGTGTGTCATAGGCTTGCCACCACTGAATCAGAAGGAAAGACTGCCATCTGGTTATTTTGTACCCCTACATCACTAAAACTACAAGGCTAAAAAAAAAAAACAAAAGAACTGTCGTATTCTGTTGACTGGGAAAATTGGTATCAACTACCAAGAAGAAGAAAAAGATTGCTGTTAAATAATGAATGCAAAGTAGATGGAACCCAGGAGACCCTCCAGAGCATATCTTAGTTCCTCCACACTCAATACTAAGAGTTAGTTTTTTTAAAAAACCTATAAAACCACAAAACAGGCAGACTATTCAGGGAAGAAAGTGTGTGGGTAAAAAGCCAGAGAAGCTGAGATGCCAGCTGACAGTGAGAGAAGGAACAGGAGGTAGTCAATGAA